TGCGCAAATCTGGCTTTTTGGAATCTGACAATACAGAGATTCCACTCCGCCACTAATATTCAAAAATACAATAGCAATCTTAATTTTTTTTCACGTGTAGTATAGAAATTTGTAATAAGATACATAATGCGGTTATAATAAAATATTGTGCGCTTATTTTCGTATAATTAAAATTAATATATACTTAATTTTTTAGAAAATACAAGGGAAGCGTCGCATCCACCGCTTCCAATGACGGCACGCCACTGCATAAAATACATACGGTATATAGTTTAAAGTACAATAAAATTTCTAACTTGTTATTTGAAGAGAGTACATAATTAGCGAAAAGATAAAAATAAATTGATTAAAATTAGAATTATAAAGATAATGTAAATAATAATTCATATATACATAGGTATATAATTACAATCAAAATTTAGGAAAATAGTGAGGCTCAGACGCTACTAAATGTGACATGAAAACACCAAACATGTTCGAGCAGAAAGAGAACGTTTGGCAGAATGATAAAACAAAATCTACTGTCGGCAGAAAAGTACTCAACAGCTCTGGAATTGTTTAGTATGCCGAACGCAGCCATTGCCAAATTTCTAAGCTTCTAAAATGGAGACGCTAGACGTTCAAAGTTCATGATTTAGAGATGAAAATCTTGGTCGCAACTTCTGTACTCTCGGAACGAAAACTGGGAGCGAAACCATTAGACGTCTGCTCTCCACGGTGGCTAAACCTGTTATCCCACTCATCTGTAACCATTCTGAAGAAATGTGGAATTTCCAGACTTATAAGCTAACTATTCAATTTTCAAAGGCCTGATTATTGGAAACGATTGAGAAGAGGGTCCTATTATTTGGACAAGGAACTGTTTGTGTTTAGGACTACGTGCTCACCAAGTTTCGTTCGAATCGGAGACTCGAACGTCTGGTCTTTTCTGTTAGTTGTTCAAACCTTTCCTGACAATTTATTGATTTCGGGTGTCATCATTTACACACACATATATATATACATATTTTCTTGTATTCGTTTCACGAAATGTGTCGTAACGATTTTAAACTTGATATCCTTTTAGGTCAAAGTAAATAAAATTATTTTTTCACTTAATATTCATTTATTTAAAAAAATAAACTATTTTTAGTTACAGAGGTCGACGATGCTTACGTTCTGATAGCGTGTTGGAGAAATACGAACGTAGCAGATAATGTCCGGAAACGTATGGAAGAAACTTACTTGGAAGCATCGGTTCCAATTACCATAGCTTCTCTAACGAATATTCTGTCGTATTCCGTTGGATTATTAGCACCTTTTCCTGTTGTGAGATTTTACTGCATCTACGCTCTAACCTGTTTAGTTTTCACTTATCTCTATCAATTAACGTTTTTTGGAGGTTGCATGGCTTTAAGTGGATACAGCGAAGAAAAACGACTACGTACTTTCTATTTTACTGGTAAGAATTAGTACTTTTATATTTTATACGTTTTAGATAGCCATAAGAAAAAGTTGCAAAAACATAATCGACAAGAAAAAGTTTCAATGTTTTTGCAACTTTTTCTTGTCGATTATATTGCTAATTCTTGTCGATTATATTGCTAACTTATATTGCTAACTCTTGTCGATTATATTGCTAATTCTAATAAAATACACTTATACTATGGTAATCAAAAAGTGTTGGGAATGGGCCATTTAATCCTCACGCGTGCTAGAGGGCGCTATCATTTTTTTCCCGTCATTCAGTAAGACTTTCATCGATGTTAGCATCAATCTTTACGGAATTTCCTGTTTTCGTTGGCAAATAAATGCTTATTTTGGGTGTAAAGAACTGCACGGGAGATGTTTCAAAATGTCGATCGTAATCCATCAAGGAACATGCAAAAAATTTTGTTTTTACAACGTAACTACTGCTAGAAAAATGTGATAGAAAGCCTTTAGTGACACTGCTCTATGAAAATCAAGAGTTTTCGAATGGTACAAGATACACGAGAAAGGCAGGAAACGCGTCGTAAACGAACTTCGTTCTTGTACAACGGTCGGCAACCGATAGTCCCTGGACCATTAATTGTCCGCGAGAAAATTTGGGTGGTCTGTGAAGAAATAATTTGGATGTTGGTGAACTGAAGGTTACGCGAAGTACAGTATTACGAAAGAAATGCAAAATGCTTAGTTGCTTTTTTTACTTATTGGAAGTTTTTATTCGAATCTAAAACCAAGTACGAAGTGATTGTTATCAATAAATAATGAACAATAAACAATACTGTGAGTGAGATTGTCGTCCTTCGAGGAAAAGCGCTGACAATCCATAAACTTATTTGAAATAAGCAGCAATGAACTTTAGGCTTGCATTAATTTGTTATAATTAAACACGCGAATTTCATATTAATATAGTAAAATTGAACTTTTATGATCGTTATTCTACAGATTTTGTATCGTTTAAAAAATTCATAATAGTGGTCCGCGGAATTCAAGATTGCGAGTTTAGTGGTCCGTGATGTCAGAAATGTTGCCAACCGCTGCTCTAGTAGACTATCCACTTTGACTGAACAACATGTCGCTCGAGTCAGAGATTGAGTTCTCGATAATCGTCCTTTAGCAATCAAGGACATTACTGAATATGTTCCGGTGTCATTTGGATCTTGTCAAGCGATTTTAACAGATCGTTTGAGCTGGCGGCACGTGGCTTCGCGAATCGTCCCGAGAATGTTGAACTTTTTAAAAATAAAAACGTGTTCGAGTGGCCAAATACTTTCTGAAGAGGAATCGTTCGTAAAACGCATCATTACGGATGTTGAAGCATGGATCCACGTCTTTCCCATCGAAACAGCTGAACAATCAAGTGAATGGCGTTCGAAAGTACGCGTTAAAGTCGGTCAAAATCAAAATCGTGTTGATTGTTTTCTTCGAGTGTCGTGGTGCTGTACAACGCGAATTCCTTCCGGCTGGCCAAACTCAACAAAAAGAATTACTTGAGCTTAATTTATCACACTACACCTTTTGTGTTGCCGAGATAGTTTTATTGAAAAAAATAATATACAGTAAAACCTTTGAGACAGGTTGTCGTCCAATACAGGTGGTGCTATAATACCGTATTTCCGTACTTATTTTGCGCACTTTTTAGCCATTTCTACTAAGTAAAACTCGAGGTGAGCAAAAATAAGCGAATTTTTTCAACTATAGAGATATTGATATTGTATTTTATTCTTATGGGATAACTCCATTTAGAGGAGTCGTCGTGATTTTATAAGACAGATTTAATACCAATATTTTAAACATTCATAGAATACTCGCATTTTCTCGATTATAATGTACTCTTTCGTTTTTCCGACTTAATTAATTCAACTTGGTTCTTTTCTTTCGCTCCTTAGTTACGTGTATTACATCATCGATATACAACCGCGTCGTATCGCTCTATCACTTTGGTTTAAGTTTTTGTTAGTTTAATCATATTTTAACTGTAAAACACTGTATTCTTTAATATTTAATATTTTCTTAAGTACTGTACAATACGAAAAATTATTAATTATTAATTAACTAGCACGTAGGCCCGGCGTTGCTCGGGCAAAAGTAACGATAGCGAAGATTAAGATTATTACATTATAGTCAACCTTACCCATTTTCACAGAATGCTAGTATTGGGTCCCCCGTTTCCAGACTAATTAGAGAATTTTTAGATGGGTCTAAAAATATCTTCGATTTCTTGCAAAAACGAAAAAACCTGCACTTTCTCTTAAAACGTCGCTTTCACTTAACAATTCCATTGTTACGTAACACTTCCATTGTTGATGGAAGTGTAAAGCTTTAATCCTGTCTCTCTCCCCCCGGAGGGGAATTTCGAAAAATCCCTTCTTAGTGTGCGTTTTCGTGACGTACCCTATCTGTGTACCAAATTTCAACTTTCAACTCCTAACCGTTTGGGCTCTGCGCTTATTATTATTATTATTATCAACCCATCTCGATTATATATAAAACGATTTTATTATTTTATCTCATAATACGATTTCATTACATTTCGAAAAAGGAAGGTTGCCTGTAAAACTGATTTTACGTTAATGCGTTTATTGTTTTTTGAATATTTTGCATACGAAAATTACTTGGATATTATTTTTCTAAAAATATCGCGAAAATAAAGTAAGTTGATACAAAACTATTTACTGCACAGGTGCTGTATATGAGTTTCAAAAATATAAAATAATTTTATAAAACGATGAAAGCCGATTAATTGTGTCATGTATTTTATACCTCTAACAAGGAAACTGTCGGAGTGTCTTCTAATAAATTTTAATAAAATTTAGTTAATAACTACGTTAAAA